GTGTGTGTGTGTGTGTGTGTGTGTGTGTGTGTGTGTGTGTGTGAGTGTGTGCGGACGAGGGGAGCCTCTGAACCAGCTGCCGACAGTTAAAGCTACGGAAAGGAGACCATGTTCCCGTTCCCTCCTTCTCGTTGACCCCGCCTCCCTCTCTGCCACAGCTCGCTCGTTCCCACGCCTCCTACTTTATTGATCCATGTTGGATTACACAGGAGCACACTGAACCCCACGTTGGTAGCGGCAATACTCCTGCCTGACCTTTAAACACGGTTTGGCGTCAGATTGGTCCAAACAGTAGCTGACCAGACCTAAAGTACCTGACAGGAATCCTAAGGAGTTCAGAGCTTTGAGGAACTTTGAAGTGTCTCTGCAGAGTAGACCCCCATGGAGCAGATCTTAGGTTTGATAAGGAGTCCAGTCTATAAACACTTTTACCCCCTGCCTTCATTGTTCCTGCTTTTTTATAAACAGCCCAATCATTGATCTTTTTAAGGTGTTACTTTGTTTTGGAAGTCTTACACATCGTCTGACCTGAGTGTGTGTATCAGTGCTAAAATACCAAATGACATACCCCTTGTTGGTACTGTGGACTTTGTGTACTATTGATGTTTTTTTTTTCTTTCTTTTTGCATGTTAATTAGGGAAAGGAAGCATTTTTTAAACTGTTTTTTACTGTGAGGTGGATAACATGGATGTATGGCTGAAAGGAGTCATTTATGTCTCTTTCTATCATGTTTCAGTGCGTCCTTAGCATTAGCAATACCTTGTGCCTTTATGTCTATGATGTGTGTGTGTGTGCTTGTGTGTGTGTGTGCGCGCGCGCAACCTCTGAAAGTACAACCCCAGTTCTGGAGAAGATAATATTAACAGAATATAATGATTTTTAAATCTAATAAACCCATATTTTATTCACAGTGACAGACAGTAAACATATCATGTTTAAACTGGAAAATTGGATCGTTTTTAGTAAATAAAGTAATTTTGAGTTTGATTGCAGCAGCACAGCTCAGATAGTTGTCGGGGTCATGTTTACCACTGGGTAGGGCTGTGCATTGGCAAGAATTTGGCGATACGATACATATGACAGAGGGGTCACGATACGATATATCCCGATATATTTCGTTACTGTAAACAAGGCGATATATTGCAATATTTTTGGTCCAAAAATTCTATTAAAGAAAAACCTCTTACTGTGAAAAAAATGAAAAACCAAAATTCATTGTCAGAAAATTCTAATATTACAGACATACTTTTGATACATTTAGCTGTGTTCTGCTTTGTATGTGTTTTATTTTATTTGTTTCATATTACATCCATGTTTTCAATTATTAGACTAAATTTGCCAATAAATAGTTAGAAAATATGTTTTTTGCAGCTTTTAGTTTTCAATATTAATTTACAATATGGTCACCCAACACTTAACAATAGTCTTTATGTTGTCATAAAGTTCAGTGAACAGATGATATGAAGCTGCTGCACAGAGTTTCTGGGATCAGCTGACCTGC